AACGTTTTTCTATATACTCAACAGTTTTGCCGGTAAAAATAAATGTATGAAGAAAAAAAAATATTTTTTCCTAAAAATTAAATTATTTTTTTTTTAATTCATAAAAAATCCAAAACGGAAAAAAGTGTCACGTAAAGTCACATAACCTACGAACAAAATGAGACATAGTTACATCATGAAAATCAATGTATGCGTTTCGCTTTTATTCAAAATTAAGTAAAGGTATGAATTTCAAAAATTTGCTCGAGATATGCTCAAAATTCCTTGGAAAAAACATTGATGAATATTTTTTTATGATTGTCAGAATTAAAAAAAAAGTAATAAACAAAAGGTTATTTGATTTTTATGGTAGCGGTAACAAACTAAAAAACGGTCATAAATGTGCGTGGACAATTAAAAGGAAAAAAGGAAAGTGCACTTTTTTAATTATTTGGGGTTTTTCCGTTGGCTACCTGCATGATTTTTTTACACAAATTGCACCCACATTTATGAGTGGTCATGTTTTAGAACGTTTCGAAAAATTTAAAACGCACACGAATCAGGTATATAGCCAGCCTTAAAAGATGCGCCAATTCATAAGTACCTCTTAGTAAAATATTGAAACTTACGTAGTATTTATAGGTGTTCATTGATCGATTTTTGTCATTCAACAAGTGTCTCCGAACGCGTAAAGTACGATTTTTTTAAAGTGACGAAAAAGTAATAAAAGTATAAAACCGAAATGAGTGCAAATTTTCCAGAGAATATCAATTTATTTTGTTACGTTTGTGGCAAAAGAGCTTTTTCAACAAATACTGCATTACTCACTGAGCAAGTGGAGCGCGCTTTTAAACTTTATTTTGATTCCGAAATAATTCGCGGCGTTTCGTGGGTCCCAGACAAAATTTGTAAAACGTGCTACAATGGTCTTAACATTTGGATCCAAGGGAAACGCAGTTCACTTCGTTTTGGTGTACCAATGATTTGGACTGATCCAGGAGAGCACAATTCCGACAACTGTTACGCTTGCGCAAACAAAATATGTGGAGTAAATCGTAAAGGCCTTAAACGAAGAGTTTACATATCTGTTAAAAGTGCACAAATACCTCTACCGCATTCGGATGAAATACCAATTCCACCGCTTCCAAGTCCTGACAGAGAAACTTCTTTTTCTATTGAAACAATGGATCAATCGGATTTCACCTATAAACCAACACCAGAAGCCGGCCCATCGAACAAAATAATTCCAATATCACAAGCAAGAATGGACAAGATTGTTGCAGAATTAAACCTTTCTCAACGTGAAGCAGAAAAACTTGCCCAGCTTTTGAAAGAAGGCAACAATTTGGAGCCTAATGTCAAAGTCACCGGATATCGAAGACGACAATTGCTATTCCAACGGTACTACACACTCAACGAAGGGAACACATTTGTTTACTGCCACGATATAAAGGGACTGATGGAGGCGATGGCCATTAATTATGTCGCAGCTGATTGGCGAATGTTCATCGATTCTTCGAAATCAAGCCTGAAAGTCGTTTTGCTACATAAATATAATAAAAAACCAAGCATTCCCATTGGCTACAGCACAGACATGAGCGAAACATACGATTCCATGAAAATAATTTTGGATAAAGTTTGCTACACTGATCACATGTCGCGGATCAGTTGTGATCTGAAGTCGTGGCGATGCTAAGAGGTCTCCAAGGAGGCTATACGAAAAACATGTGTTTCTTGTGTCTTTGGGATACCCGAGTTAAAGGAAACCAATACGAAACGCATGACTGGCTTGCTCGAGATCCAACGGAGAAAGGACACAACTGCGTAAATGATCCACTGGTGCCAATGGAGAACGTCCTCATGCCCCCTCTCCATATCAAACTGGGAATCGTAAAAAATTTCATCACGGCCATTGTGAAGCAACCGAAAATTCTTGATTGTTTGAAAAATATTTTCCCACCAATCAGCGAAGCAAAATTGAAGGAAGGTGTTCTGAATGGGCCGGATATACGAAAGCTGATGAAATCAAAGGAATTTAAAGGTGCTTTAGACGGTAATGATTACTTTGCGTGGAGGGCAGTGAAGAAAGTCATACGATATTTTTTGGGAAGTACGCGAGCACACAATTACCCCGCTCTTGTGACCAAGATGTTGCACTACTTCCAGAAAATTGGAGTGAATATGTCCCTCAAAATTCACTTCTTGCATCACCATCTCGAATACTTCAGCAAGCAGCTAGCCTCAGAGTCGGATGAACATGGCGAGCGCTTCCATCAAGTGGCAATGCCAATGGAAACGCGATATAAAGGCAAAAGGCTCGATTCGCTGGTGGCTGAAATTTGAAAAAATGTAATATTTTAGGCAACAAATAATTTTTTTCTTCATACATTTATTTTTACCGGCAAAACTGTTGATTATATGGAAAAACGTTATACGAACAGATTAAAAGAATTGTAATTAATTTTTTTAAATTTGTTTGAGCATAATCGGACTAGTGGTTCTCGAGTTATGTCAAAAAAAATACCACCAAAGGTGACAATTTCCCCTATATGATAGTTACTAACTTCAAATCGATATCTCGATTCCTAGACGTGACCCAGTGAAACGCCGGGACACATATAACTTCTTTTTTACCGATATAACTTTCCCCGGTAGTTTGAACCCTTCCCGATCACTGACCCCTACCATTTGTCTCACAGTGTTATTATTATTATTTAAAACATGAGCCAATATCATTAATAAATAGAACGAACAAAAGAGGACCAAGGATACTACCCTGCGGTACTCCCGAGGTGTTGGCAAATGACTTCGATTTGTGATGTTCAATTTCCACAAATAGAGTTCTATTCGAGAGATAAGATTTTAGAAAAGACAGAAAAACAGAAGGAAATCCAAGACACTTAAGTTTATACAGCAAAATAGAATGAGACACTTTATCAAATGCCTTCGAGAAATCCGTGTAGATAGAGTCAACCTGGTACCCACATTTAAAAGCCGATACGCAGTACTCAGAAAATAGCACTAAATTTGTAACCGTAGAACGACCGGACACAAAACCATGCTGGTGTGGTGGCAGGATTCGTTTGGAAACAAAAGACACCTTCTCGTAAATGACTCTCTCAAAGAGCTTAGAACAGACCGTTCATTTAGAAATGGGTCTATAATTTAAAACATCATTCCTGCTACCCGATTTAAAAACTGGTGTGATGGAAGCAACTTTCCACCGATGAATAAACACTCCAGAGGAAAGGGAGAGGTTATAGATTAAGCACAGTGGAACACAAACAGTGGAACTACAACATTTTAGGAAATATTCACAAAAACCATCATTATCACACTTAAAAGAGGATTTTAGGGAGGAAATACTATTAATAACATCTGTTTCAGTAATGGACAAAGACCCAAAGTCTAAAGACTGGGGCAGACAGGGACAGGGGAGGGTGTTGACAAAGTCATCATCAAGATCAAAACTGGATTTGAAAAATTCAGCAAACAGTTCCACCGAATCATTAAGAGAATGAGAGGACCTACCATTAAGGTACATGCATGAAGGAATGTTTGAAGAACCCCTTTTAGAACGAATGAATCTCCAGAACGCCTTGGGATGTTCTTTTAATTCAAGTTCAAATCTGCGGATATATTGGTTATACAAAAACTTATCGAGAACATTAAATTGCTTCATATAATACACATACTCTCTAGCTTTAAACCTTTTATAGTATTTATTTCTTTGGTTTTTCAACTTTTTAAGAGTTTTATTGTATCAAGGTAATTTATGGATTCGGGAAGGAAGATGACAAAGCTTGCGTGAGAATAAAACAGCCATTTCGTGTAGCAAAGCCTCAAAACACACACTAACATTGTCCGAACCCCAATCTATATCAGAAATAGCAAGATTCAAGTCGTGGTAATTCGCAGACCGGAAGTTGAAAGAAGATGGCCTATTACTATCAATTACAACGGCGTCATAATATTCCAAAAATACGAGCATATAGAGCAACATGATGCTTATCAGTTTTACTAATCGGAAAGTCAGATTGAGTTAGATTACATATTGAATTCTCATTTACAAAAACTAGATCTAGTATCCTTTGCAGCTTATTAAAAGTAAAACTAACTGGGATAAGATTCAAGCTAAATAAATTATCTAGAAGATAAATCTCGTGAGCTCTATTAATATTAGTAGGAGTTAAAATACCGTTCCCTTGCAGATCTGACCATATTATATCCTTAAGATTAAAGTCGCCAAGAATGCAGAAATTACAATCATTATTTTTATCATATAAATCAGCAATATTATTAACATGAGAGCAATACAAGTCTTCAGCACTATGAGACACAAATAAATAATTTTTTAAAAGAGCTAAATAGACAAACACACAGCTGATCAAGTAGAGGGTCGTGATTATTAAGCTGATACCAAGATGACCGTAGGTTACGCTTGACAGCAATTAAAACACCACCACCCTTAAGGTGGCCTGTTTTCACGGCATCTCTATCCTTGCGGTATACTTGAAATAAGTCCGAATCGAAAAACTCCTCATTAAAGAAATTATTATTTAGCCAGGTTTCAACAAAAACGTAGACATAAATTCCCCTCGAGACGTTTGCAAATAAATTTCCTTTGCTTTAGTACGCATTTCAGACATGTTTTGGAAGTAAAGTTTAAGGACACTGCTTTTTTGCAAGTCTAAGGCTCCTTGCTGGGAAGACCCTCTTTTTGAAAAAATGTAAAAGACCGGACTTTAACATCCGCAGGCCAGAGCGTCGGGTTCAAAATGGCATCCAACAAAGATGCAGCAACGCCCAGTTTAAAATTAACCTTTTTTAAGACACTAGCATCCACATATTATATATACACACAATATTCTCTTCAGTGACTGAAGGTTTGAATGACGCAATGTGAACCCATTTTTTTATAGCAACAACCTCCAAGTCTTTGCTTTGGTTGCGGCCGATCACTAATTCATTAGACTTTTTTTGTTTTTTGCGGCGGCAGCATAGGTACGGTAGCTCAAAAAGGAATTAAAACAACTGGCGTAGTGCATGTTTGATCAGCAGTAACGGCTGGTAAGGCAGTAACGGCTGGTAAGGCAGTAACGGCTGGTAAGGCAGGTGGAGCGCAAGAAGATCACGGAGGGTTGGCCGGCAAGGCAGCAATAATATTAGGCGACGCGCCGTTGGCGTTAGAGTAGTCAGAGGCCACAGCAGAAGATGTACAAGAAGAACAGAAATCCGAAGTAATAGCGCAATTAGATTTCTGCTTTACGCTTGAAACAAAATTGTTGTTAGCTGAGAAGCACATATTATCCTGGTGAGATTTAATTTCATTAGTTAGCGATTTAATAGCCGAAGACGTCTCGTCACGACGAATGTTTTCTCCTAAATAATGAAGTTCAGATTGTAGAGACTCCGTTTTCATTATTAGCTGATTTTGGTCTTCAAGCAGGGCACTAAGCAAAGATAAAATATGCGCATTTTCCTCTCTAAGAGCGACAAGCTCCTTTAGAATAGATTCCATATTAATTGGCTGCTTCAAACCACTTGCATTTTCTTTAGGTACGATTTCCTTCTCCATTGGTTTTGATGTCGAAATTAATTTGGGCATATTTTGCTGCTGACAGAGATTAGTATTGTTGTTACTTGGTTTGTTTATGACATCGGAATTGAACGAACAACTAGCAACAACACTGTTCTCAGGAACAAAGGTCAGTGGAGGCGAACGAAGCTAGTCACGACGATCAGCAGCACAACCATTACAAAGAAATGGCTTATTGGCTTTTACTAAGAACTCAGCATCAGCCGCCAAAATGTTTAAGTGAAAAAAGGCATTACACTTAGCACATTGAATTTTCTTTTTAGATTGCGAGCGTTCTACTCTTTGACCACACACACATGGCATAATGAACTCTTTTGCTGAATAACAATATTATTTTGTTTTGAAAAGTGTCACTGTCACATTTGACTAGGCATATATGCAAATAGCCACTTCAGTGAATAAAGATTTAATAATACGGCATGCAGATACCAAAAAAGAACAGAGCGAAGAAAAACACGTCCGCACAGCACAACGTTCGTATATGCAATTTATGGACCTCATGTGTTTGTTGTACTCGCTCTAATGCTGCTACCTGTTTATTGTACCATGTTTTTAACCCATTGGTTGTTTCCATTCTGATGACGGGTTTTCCCAGAGTTGGCCTCTTTAATTTTTTTTGCAGCTTTCCAGAGGGAATAATCGCTGGCAGCTGTTGCATCTAAGTTATTGAGATAATGATGAAGTTGGGAATTGCGTTCTTTTTGCAAGAGTTCTTTGAGCTCTCTCGTTAGCGTATTAAATCTTGTTTTGTCTTTGGGATGTCTAGTCTGGTCCAACTTTGTTCTAGCCTGGCGTTTTTGGGTCAGGTTTTCTTTTACAAGAGAGAAGATTCTTGTACACTGTGATTTGCTTAGAATGGGTGTTGATCTCCAAGTAGCTTCTTGAATGCAGTTATTGAAGTGTTCAACAGCTGCAATGATATCTTCGTTAGATTTGCGCGAGTGTTTAAAATTAAATTTTGGAGATGTTAAGCTTTGGAAGAAATTCCAGTCAGTTCTGTTGTTGTGAAGGTAACATTGAGAAGTTGAGTTAACAAGATTATTGCTTAGAGTGACCATTACGGGAGAAAGGTCAGAGGAAAAATCGAAGCAGGGATTCCATATCATTTCATTATCTGCAATACCTTTAAACACGCAAAAGTCTTTTAAATATGTCTCGAATTTTTTTGGATCGGTTGGCCAATACGTTGGTGAGCCTGAGGTGGTTGAGTGAAGGTTTAATCTTGCCATAGCCGTAAAGAGTTGTCGGCCTTTAAGTGTGATGAGGTGAGATCCCCATTGTGGGTGTTTTGCTTTGTAGTTTTCTCCAGCTAAAAACCTGATTCCTGGAGTTTTGAAGAATTTAACATAATCTTCTGACTTGATCGCAAGCTTGGGTGAGCAATATGCTGTTGAGTTTGTTATTTGGCGTTTGGGTGAAATATTTGTTGCGAAATTCCAGAACATACAAGTGAAGGTTTATTTTGCTTTAACTAAGCTTGTAAAGATAAAGGTTGATAAAAAGTTATTAAACGCTGTTAACTTCAAATGGGAAACATGTGTAAATGTTGAACATAAATATATGGTACAACTTTATTCTTATTAAAAACTCTACGAGGCGCTAATCTTGGGAAGTGAAGCCAATGCTCACCATTACACCTGGGGCAGCACCGATGATAATGAACGGGGTGAGCAACTTTTTGATTTCATACTTAGCTCTAAGCTTTTAACTGCAAATAGGGGGAACGACCCCACTTTTATTACAAAATCTCGAAGGAAATTTCTGGACGTTACCCATATCTCTGAGAATGCGGAATGTCTGGTCGGGAATTGGAGGGTGCTTGAGGAGCACTCCTTTTCCGATCACCGCTATATCCAACTCGAGGTAGTAGGGGTAATGCCCT